AGCAATACACCGTAACTTCAACCCGCTTCAGCAGAAGAGCGATCAAGATCATCGTTTTCCTTACACTTATCATCATCATCCCCAATCCGCTCTCTTCCTTCTCCTTTTCCTCCACCTCATCTAAACTATCTTTCTCTTCATATTCCTCTCTTTCTAAACCTTTATCTGACGTGGTAGATAACAAAATTGTATGTACTCCTCCTGTACTATCCCCACCCAAACCGAACCATTGCTTCCTGCAGCTACCTCCAAATCTCTACAGTATGCTTTAGTGGAACTCGCTAACTTTCTCCAACCAAAACCCCAATCCCAGGGCCAACCTCCACATCTCGCGCATATTTAAACGAAGAACCAAACTCCAGCTCCATCTTTAAGCCCTCAACCAATCTTCAGCGCACTAACTTGCTGGCCTAGGCCTGTACGAACCCCATCGCCGCGCACTCCCAGTCCAAAAGACCTTCCCCATACTTCAACCCATTCTTCGATCTTCCTCCCGCACAAGCTTTCGTCAACCGACGTAATCAGTCAACTACTCCCCTTATCCCAACCAAGACAGCTAAAGCCTCATCTAGCTCTTCCCCGTCCTTGCTCTTGCCTTCTGTACAAGCGAACTACGCATCTTACGCCACAGCGCAGTTTTTTTTTTACCTTTCGCAACAAGAGCATCCATTTTACTCAACGAAAAAACCTTTAGCCAAAACTCCTAACTCGCCACCATGTCTCAGTCTGCGGACACACCCTACGACTGTTGCCGTAAAAACGACCATGCATCGGTATTTGCCAAACAAGCCCTAGAGACTTTCAGTCCCGGGGACCGGGACTTCCTAAGGCGGTAGGATGCAGAAAAAGCGTTAGTCATCACACCAATGCGCTATTGGCCTGTCTCATGGCACCAACCCCTTAACAACTATCAAAAAAAGCAAAGCTCCGCCCCAGTGAGAGGAAGCAGCACGAAAGACCAAGCGGTTGATGATCTCCAAACCACATGGATCAGCTATGGCTTGCATAGCTGGTCCTAACCCTTCCCCTCTTTTTTCTTTCTTTCCTTATTTGCGTGTTATCTCTTTCCATTGTTACTCATTTAATTGCTCTCTATACTCGTAATCTCATAAGGTAAAATTAAGCCTTCTGCTCCTGCTCGGCTAAATTTCCTCGCCTCGTTTGATTTTTTATATTTACTCACCATGTACTACTACAATTATCCCACTCCTTTTAATTATAATTGATTTCAAATTTTGTGCGCCCTTGTCACGACATCGATTCTGTATAATAAATTTTCTATAGAGG